TACATAAGTTGTTGTTCCTTTGTTTGCAATTATCTATTCCTTTGAAAAAATACTGCAAGGAAGGTAGATGCAGGGTTTTTCATGCTTACATTTCTTTACAGAAATAGTTTATTTTATAGATGTATTTTCCCATTTGTTAGTTCAGCTTACTTACTGCAGGTGATAACAGTTAGGACAGATGTTTTCTTGGTAATCCCAAATCAGTATTTCAGTACATATAAATCGTGTTGTCAAGTTCATTATCACCTTTCCTTTACGCTGTGAGAATCATATGCTAAAATATATTCCCTGTCGTTTTCTGATAGTCTGATATTTTTCTACTTTTTCAGCTTTCTACCAAAATATGTCTTAAATAATGTGGGAAAGAGGTCTTACGGATGAAGAAATTTAAAAAAAAATTGTTGCAGGAGCTATCTGAAAATGAATCTGACAGAGGTGAAATTGATAATTTTTCTGTAGAAATTGAAGATGAATTCCAGACACAAACTATTAGTGAATCCGAGGACAGTGAAGTAAATGAAGAACTCAGCAGAAATAAACAGGCAAAAACAGATCAGGGTATTTCCAAAACTGTTTTTACAGCTCCTGATAATACTATATGGAAGGAAATAAATTGTGTCGTCAAGTTCATTATCACCTTTTCTTTACGCTGTGAGAATCATACGCTAAAATTATATTCTCTGTTGTTTTCTGATAGTCTGATATTTTTCTACTTTTTTTAACTTCTACAAAATATGTCTAAATCATGAAAAAGAGGTCTTACGGATGAAGAAATTAAAAAATTGTTGCAGGAGCTATCTGAAAATGAATCTGACAGAGGTGAAATTGATAATTTTTCTGTAGAAACTGAAGATGAATTCCAGACACAAACTATTAGTGAATCCGAGGACAGTGAAGTAAACGAAGAACTCAGCAGAAATAAACAGGCAAAAACAGATCAGGGTATTTCCAAAACTGTTTTTACAGCTCCTGATAATACTGTATGGAATGAAATAAATTCCAAAAATTCAGCGTGCAGTCGTGATCCTGCTTATAATGTTCTAAAAGAAACAGCAAGACCAACATCTTTTGCAAAGAGTCATGTTTTTGAGGACAAAGTGTCTAGTGCTTTCAAGCTTTTTATTGATGATGATATCTTGCTGCATATAAAGAAATGTATAGAATCCGAAGCTCATTGGCAACTTAAAAATAAAGACTGGAAGTTATCTTTGGCTGAGTTATATGCTTTTGTCACTATATTGTATGTTCGAGGAGTAATAGGAGCAAAGGGCTTAGATTTATATTCCTTGTGGTCCGAAGCATGGGGAATACCATTTTGCAAAGAAACTATATCAAGAGATAGATTCAAAGAAATAAAACGATTTTTAAGGTTCGATTTTGACAAATTTTGGTTATCTGTCGATGTTGATACTAAAAAACCTCTTGAATGGATTTCCTTATTTAAGAAAAGATGAAACAGCAAATCCTCAATTACGTTTGTCTGAAAATGTTGTCTTAAAATTAACGGAGCCACATTTAAACATAGGGAGGAATATTACCATGGATAACTATTTTATTAGCATTAAATTAGCAGAAAAACTAAAATAAAAAAATACAACTATGATCGGCACAATGAAAAAGAACAGAAGAGAAATTCCTATATCTTTGAAAAATATGTGTAGTAATCTTTATTCATCGACAATAGTAGAACATGATAATATCACACTTACCATCTATCAAGGCAAAAGAAACAAAAGCGTTTTTCTACTGAGCTCATTACATTCTACTGTAAAAACTGAAGATAGTCTCAACAAGTTGCCCGATTCAATAGCATTTTACAACGCAACAAAGTATGGTGTCTATATTCGTGATCAGATATGCTGAAAATATTCAGTCAAATCGGCTTCTAGACGATGGCCTGTACATATCTTTTTCAATATTTTGGATCACGCAGCTTTGAACGTCTGGATAATTTATAAAAGTATAACAGGATACACCATTAACAGGAGAGATTTTCTACTGAAATTAGGAGAGGCATTAAGAGTGGTACATATGACTTCAATACTCCCAAAGATCCTTCCTGAGTCTTCAGAAAAAACACATGAAAAGAAAATGGATATAAAGAGAAAAAAGTGTCAAGTACGGAGATGCAATGGAAATAAATCTCAAGAATATTGTGCCTCTTGTTCCAAAGTTGTGTGCGGAAAATGCACTGGAAAAATTGTTAAAAATTATTTTTGTATCAACTGCATTAATTCTTAATGCATATGTGTAATCTCTAATATTTTAAACATTAAATAGAATTGAAACAAATTATAAAATACTTTACATATTCCATTCAGCTACACATATAATGATATAACTGAAACATCAGAGAACATTTCTCATTTCTGGATTTAGAGAGTGAATTATCCTCCAATTAAGTACATAAAAAATATTATTATATAAATTATGTTTTATTTGAGTTAACATTAGTTTTAATTTGTGAAACCATTTATTTGAAATCAATTCTTATATCAAATTAATGAGTAATTGTAGTATGATTCAATTGATCGCCACATATACTCGATATATTTACAGTATTTTAACAAGTCAATAAATTGTCATGTGATATTAAATATAAATTATGAAATACATATGAAGTACATATTTGTTCCAATCTATGGCATTTAAAATTGTTTTACCGTTGTTATTTTTGTACTTTATCGAAGGGTCAAAATGACCCCTTACCGCCGTTCCAGTAGGTAAGATTTTTCCACCATTCTAGTGTTAAACATCCAAAGCTGTGCTTGTTTCTGAGGTTACTGATATTGAAGTATTCAGTGTTTCTTGTAATGGTTTTGAGAGCATTGGCAAAATAAAGTGATGAAAAGAATGATTATTTAATCTTATCTAGTGTGTCTCAATATATGTAATTTAACAGAAATAGTAAGAAATTAGCAAAGAGAAAATAATCCCGTGCCACTTTTATGTTTTAGCGTCTGATATATGGAAATTAAAAAAAAAAAGAAAGAAAGAAAGAAAGGAATTATTAGCTTAATCACTGACGAAGGGATACTCAAAGAAAATCAAACTTTTTTTAAAAATTTATTTATTCAGATTTTAAGTACAAACCTTCAATCTCCATCAAAGTACTCTCCACTTGCACTAATGCACTTGTCTAATATTTTATTCCATTTTTCAAAACATTGTTAAAATTCATTTCTTGTGATGCTTGACACCACCTCTGTTGTTTTTTTCTTCACCTCAGCAACAGGAGCAAAACGCTTTCCTTGCATCTCTCTTTTCATTCTAAGGGAAAAAAAAGTTGCACGGAGCAAGGTCATGTGTGTATGGGGGGGGGTGAAGAACAGGAGACATACCAATTTTGATCAACAAATGACGTACAGACTGGGCTGTATAAGCAGGGACATTGTCATGATGGAAAAACCACTCGCCCAACTGCCGCACACTTTTACGCAATCTGTTCAAAACTTCCAAGTAGAAAAGCCTGGTTAACTGTCTGACTCTGCAGAACAAAATCTGAATGCATGGCTCCTCTTACATCTAAAAACAAATCAGCGTTGTTTTAAATGTTTGATTTCACCTGACAAGCTTTCTATGGGCAAGGTGAACTTGAAGTCTTCCACTGGCTTGATTGTTGCTTTGATTCAGGATCGAAGCATAGCACTGAGTTTCATCACCTGTGGTAATTTTTGAAAAAAAGTTTGGATCATTTTGAGACTTATCTTTCAAAGCACAGCATGCTTCTACATGCCCAGCAGTTAAGGCACAAATTTGGCAGGCACCCTTTTCATTCTTAAATCTTCTGTCAAAATTCACTGCACTGAACTTCAAGTCACTCTTACAATTTCTTCAATGATCTGTCATCGATCTCCATTGATGATTGCATGAATTTTTTCAACGTTTTCACATGTGTCAACTGTTGAAGGATGACCAGAATGAGGTTTGTAATCAGTTTACATTTCACCATTTTTTAAATGGGAAAAATGCTCAAACACTTTAGTTTTACCGTAGCATCGTTCTTGTATGCCATTTTTAACATTCAAAGAGTTTCTGTTCCACTTTTTCGGAGCAAAAAGCAGAATTTCAACGTCTTGCACTGTCACACAAAAATCGGCCATTGCGAATAATGATCACACAAAACCGTTGTCACTGTAAACTGTGCCAAAACTATTCCTGACCTTCAAAAATGGCACTCAGTTAACTGACTCAGGAATGTTTACTGCATGCACTCCTAGCAGCAAAAATGTGGCAATACAAAAGCTGTGCTCACTGAAATATTAGTTTGGTTTCTTTTGGGTACGCCCCTATACAACAGAAAGCTACTGTTCTAAATAACTTGAAGTGGTTGCAGAAATGTATTGTGTTGTCAATACAAAGCAATTAAATGTTCTGGAACTTTTGACAGTTAATAGCTTACTTTGTTTTGATAAAAAATATCCATTATAATTTCTCTGCTTCTAATTGAAGTTAAAACTATATTTTTAATCTTGAGGTGTGTTTTTCTTTTCTCCCCCCCCTTTTTTTTATTTTATATATATAAATGTGAAACAGGCTAAAATTAAGTAATCATTAATTTCTTGATATTATATAAACATAGCTGATGATATTCAATTGATAGCCAAAATTTCTTCACTAAAAGAGAACAAAAAAACTTTTGCAATAAGCGCAGACCTCAGAAGGGAGACAGAAGGATTGTGGGATAATCAGATAATTCTGATTTAAATCAGATCATGTTAATGAAACTAATTTTATCTTCATTTAGAATTTTAAAACTGTTCCTTTAATTTTGAACTCTCAGCAGCAATAGTATTCTGTTTCATTCTTCTTTCTGGAAATTAGTTAATATTCAGAGGAGGTAAAGCAAAATTTTCAATTTTAATTAAAATAAAATGTAATGTGAACCATATGAGTTTATTTACCAAAATGTGTAGCTATTTTCTTTAAATTCCATAATTTGCTGTTTTTTTTTTTTTTTTTTTTTTTTTTTTTTTTTTTTTTACTTATTTTAAATTTAGGTGATCCATCATCTAAAGAAATACAAATCTTTGCATGTTATGTTTTTGCAACTGCACTTAGGAGAGTTCCTGCTTCTGTCAGAACATGGTGGAACAATTTAGACAAAAGATCTGCTGACCTTGTTAACAGGTTTTTATATTATTATTGCTGTTTATAAATAATATGTAATTAAATATTTCTGATTTTTTTATTTAGCATAATTAATATTTAAAATCAAACGTGCACTTTATTTCAGATTTACATCAAAGTATATAAGTGGAATTCTTTGTGCTGAGGAAATTCAAGCAGTACATGACAATGAAGTGAAATTTGAAAACATGATAGTAAGTAATGTTATATTATAGTTATATTAAAATAAAATATTAACTGATTTAGCATGCTTTGCAGTAACATTATTTATCATATCATGGTAAAAAATAATTGACAAGTTATCTGTTTATTATTTATTTTTTCTGTTTTTGATAATTTACTGGCCTGAGATGAAAGTCATTTTCTTAATTTTTATTTTTGCATGAAGCTCTTGCCAAATACCTGGTGGTAATATTAGGAACACGTAGTTATAGCTCTGACATCTAACAGAGATTCCTCAAATCTTGCTTAATAATTAATAATTTGTTTTTGTACAAAATATTTTTGCAGTTACAACCAAATTGTGGAACAAATAAAACTGTCATTTTTAATGTGAAAACAGTTCCCAAGAGTTGCACGAGAAGCCTTTGCATTCACAAAAGGTCACTGTGTGGTGTAGTTTATGGCATAGTTACATTATCGAAACATTCCCCCCCCCAAAACGAGGAAGATGTGGTACAGCAACTGTTGAGCAATATTAATAAATGATAATATTTTCTGTGGCCGAATTTGGTGGACATGTGGTTTCAACAAGACGGTGCCTTGTCACACTGATAATGGCATTGTCTATGTATTGCAAAAAAGTTTGGTGAAACAATAATTGCATGAAATGCTACTGATAGTTGGCCTTCCTAATTTGAAGTCAGTGCAATAAAGTACAAATCCCTAACGCATTAAGAATAAACATTGAAAGCTGCATTCATGACATAAGGTCTGAGTTATTGCAGACGATAAAAATCGTACTCATCAAATTCCCTTGTTTGGACAAAGTCGAGGTATATATTTAAATGATGTTTTATTCAAAATGTAATGTCATAAATAGTATTTCAAAATAATATGAAAAGTTTGGTTGTATCTGAAGAAGTTTTTATTTATTTCATTTTAAAATCATATCATTCTTATTGGAAAATTGTATATAAATTAGTTCCTATGGGATACTTTGTATGGAAGAAATCTTGAGACAGATAACTGCATAGTTTTATTCTAATTATGTAACAAAGACTTTTCTCTGTTCAGGATTTTTTTAAATATTGCAGGTCATTAACTTTTTTCCCCCTATGAAAATATTTTATGCCTTAATTTTTCTGATAAACAAATACTGTGATTTTCAATTTAATACTGTAAATAGATGTCATTAAGTAGTGGAATGAATTTCTCTCAATAAGCAGTAAAGGTTATTCCATTCCATTTCAGGTTAGAGCCAGACCTGGATCAAGAGAAGTGATTGCCACTTACACTATTGATGATTCTGCTATAGAATTGAGTGTACAGCTTCCAGCTAATTATCCACTTGGACCTATATCTGCAGACCGAAGGGGGAAAATAGTCGTTGCAGTACAAGAATGGAGAAACTGGTTAATGCAACTGACTACAGTCCTGACATACCAGGTTTTTATCTTATTACAATTTTAACTTGATAAGAAAATCTGCTAATTGAATTTAATTTGCTAAGAAACATTTGAAAAGGTAAATTGATATAATTTAGAGTTTTGATATTTAATATTTTAATATTTTGTTTTGAAATTTTTCTGAAACTCTTTTTGTTTTTTTCTTTTATGATGATAGTTCTCTTAACAAGCATTATTCCCTTCCACATTTCAGTTACAGGCTTTTTATTTTGAAAATTAATACATTTAGAACTGTGCAAAACATGCAAGGTATTTATTTAAATCGAAAATTTGCTTTGTAGAACTGTATTAAAAGTATTGACTGATGGCAAAATGAAATGTAAAAAAAAAAAAAAAAAAAGCTTTGTTAAGGTTTGAATACAAAAACATAAATATTCATTCTTCACAAGATAAACTTACAACGATCATATTATACTTCCCTTGTTGAGCACTTTTTTTATTTTGCGAGAAATTTGTATCAGCTTTACACTTATATTTTGCAGTATTATTTTGAGAATTATTATTTTGAGTATTATTATTTGAGATTATTTTGAGAATTGCCAATTAAATTGCTCACTGGTGCAGAAATTATGTTATTTTTCTCACACCTATTTTTAAGAGTGGAAGTGACAACTACATCTCCATTTAATTTAGGTACTTTATAAATACAGCCTTTTATTTTAACTCCAGAAGCATTTTTTTCTTCCTTAAAAAATGTGGTTCCTTAAAAAGTGGGTTCCATTGGTCAGGAATTCTAGATAAACATTTCTATAAAGGCAGCCAGTGGATACACACATGTTTAACCCCCCCTTATTTCAGTATTATGCAGCTATTTAAATTGTTTCAAATTTTTCTTCCTTTTAGAACTTCTTTGAAGATAGTGATAAATATCAACGATTTGTTCATCCACACTTATTGGCAGAGAAGCTGCTCCCTTTTTCAGCTGCTAAGTTTAAGAGGTGACAGGTTGCAATTTCATAATTTGCAAATTTGAATTTTCCTTTTTTAAGATGCCTGCCATTAGCCTACCATGAGTGGTGCATTATTGGCACCAAGTGCTAAGCAATTATCTAGAGGAACTGCATTTTCTTTTAAAGTTTAAATAATTAATTATGATGTATTAAAGTCTGTCGAATGAAGTGGGGACAGAAAATAAACCACTCTTAACTTTGGAAGACATTGGATTAAAAAAGAAACAACAACTAGATACAATTTTGAATTGTATTATTGCTTCCATTTGTAGAGAAGCAAAGTGGAACTGTTTTAATGCAGTCAGTAACTGCAGTTTTATTTCATACCCATTTCTTTAACAATTGCAGCCATTTTGGTCATCGCACTTGAGTATTTCTTAGTGATTTCGCTATCAGGAAACATATCTGTAAATTTTTTTTTTTTTTCAGTAGAACTCATGCTTTCCTTATGTCTTTGTGCACGCATATATGTTTGAGAACATTGGCCCTTCACTGTGCAAAATCTAAAAACTGCAATGACAAACTGTACACGCTGCAAATGTGTTACATTTCATTGAGGAAATAACAGAAGGAAAGTCATCTGTGTATGATTTTTGAGAAGTACATGATAATTTTATCTTTTTGCAGATATAACTAAAACAGAAGATTGTAATTTCTTAAACTATTTCTCGAAAACATGTGCACTCACTCCGCTCAGCAGTAAGATGAACAAAATAACAACCTTGATCTTGCTTTGTTCTCATTGGCTAATACAGGGTGATCAGCAAATAAGCCATGATTTCAAAATTAAATATCTCTACAACAAAGATCGATAGAATTATGCAGTAAACTCTACGTTTATTAGAAAAACTGTAAAAATGGTGTACAAAAGTTTAAAAAATTTAGTTATGAAAATCGTTAACAGATGGCACTCTAATCACAGTGACCTATCATTAGCTTTTAAAATGTGCTTCGAAGTCGAAAGTGATCAGTACAACTGTTGACTAGTGAAAAGAGGCTAGCATAAAAAGTGAAATAATGTATTCCATTGAACAATGTGTATTTTGGTTCTGGAATTTCACCGATTAGAACACAGTCCTACGGCAACACGTCCCAGTTTTCAAAACCAATTCAATGCTTTAGGTGGCCCCAACGCGAAAACCATTCACATGCTCTTCGTGAAATTCACATGGACTAGCAGCGTGGCTGATGATCGAAAGGGAAATGTTGGGACTAAGCAAACTATAGTCACTCCTGAAAATGCAGCCAAAGTTTCTGGATTTGTTCAGCAAAATCCTAGTAAAGCATCCGACGGATTGCATCAGAGACAGGTTCGAAGTACACGAACACGCAAAAAATATTAAAAAATAGCCTTACGGTTTTTTCCATACAAAATCCAAAGTCATCGGGTCAATACCCATGAAAGCTATGCAACAAAGGGTTGACTTTGCGAATCAGATTCAAACAATGGTCGACAACGACAGATTTCATGTGAACTGCATCTGGTTCACAAGATGAGGCACATTTTTCATTTTGAATGGAATCGTTAATAAAAAAAAAAAACTGGAGATTTTGGGGCTACCGAAAATCCTCATTTGTGTGAAGAAAAAGCCCCGTTTAGGCGAGGCTTTTTCTAAAGTCGTCTTGGCGAGACAATTCGTCTAAAGTTACTGCATGGGCTGCGATATGCGTCCAGAGGCATTATCGGACCCTTTTTCGTACGATAAACGATAACTAATGAACGTTACATTACAATTGTTGGAATAATTTGTCAGCACTCAACTAGAGTTGGAGGATCGACCAGCTATCAACTGGTTCATGCAAGATGGGGCTCGACCACATCGAACAGATAAATTTTTTCGCTTTCTTCATGAATATTTTGGGAATAGAGTAATTGCATTAGATTATCCGCAATTTACCTGACACAGGAATAGCTTGGCCTCCATATTCTCTCGATCTGAGTCCTTGTGACTTCTTTCTGTGGGGCGCATTGAAAGACGCTGTCTATTGAAACAATCCTGCTACTCTAGATGAGCTTGAATCATTGATTGGTGTTGCATGTCATTCCATTTCCGTTGAGACACTGCAAGATGTGATGTCAAATTTCATTGTTCATTTACGCCGCCTCATTGTTTCGAACGGTGAACATTTTGGAAAAACTGTACTTTGATTGCAAAGGCTGCTTTATTTTTTTAATTTTTTTTAAATTTCTTTCAGAGAAAGAGTGTTCAGCGCAGAGTGCAATCTGTTAATGATTTTTGTAACTAAATTTTCTAAACTTTTGTACACCATTTTTACAGTTTTGCTAATAAATGCACAGTTTACCGTAATTCTATCAATTTTTATTGTAGAGATATTTAATTTTGAAATCGGGGCTTATTCGCTGATCACCCTGTATATGTCAGATGACAAGTAGTGGCACTCGATGCTCATTGGATAACTGGAACATGACATCTGTGGACACATGTGCTCTCACTCACTAAGCAGAAGCACACCATAATTTTGCACTGATGAAACAACTTTCATTTTCTTTTATATGTAATATAGAGAAAAATCTAGTGCTTTCAGACATCCAAGATCATTTTTTTATGTGCAAACAACAAAATACTAAGCCAAACTACATAAAAATCCTGAGAAATTTTAATAATAAGAGAAAGTCGGGAGAAATTTGTTATAAATCAGGTAGGTGGGAGAATGGTCGGGAATTTCCCACTTAAACCAGGAGAGTTGGCAATTCTGAACATGACTTACAAATAATAGAGGAACAAAGGATTTCCCCACCTAGTCATCCAATCTTAATATTGTGTTTGCAAGACCAGTAACTGACATATTAAAGAGCATATTTTAAAATTAACTGTAATAACAGGAAAAACTAGTTATTTGAAACATTCTTTGTAAGAATATTAATATATAAATTTATATTTCCTCTATTTAAAAAAAAGGATGTGTGCAAAACTATTAATCTTAAAGCTTTTAATTTGTTTTGTTAAATATTTAATTTGCCTAGCCTATATTTGACGGTGCCCTTGCCAAGTTGTTGTTTCATTTATGGAAACCTGAGTAAAGAGTGCCTGCTGGATTATTGCCAAGTTGTTGTTTCATTTATGGTAACCTGAGTAGTTGAATGTTATGAAAACCCTATTATGACATAATTGGTTGCATGAATTTGACTGATGGGAAAAGATTTGTAAGGGCTTGTTTGTGTGTTGGATGTTGGTTTTGTGGTTTAATCTATAAAACAGCTGAATGTGGTAAGATTAATTTGAAATTTCTATAGGATTTGGAACGAAGGGGGGGAAGCATTAATTGACTGGTGTGTAAATGAAGGTTTACTTAGTTGCAATTATAAGTATCCTGTTTGTACAAAGGAAATGCATGTGGTCGAACATAAAGATCATTCAGATGGCTTTTGATGCAAAAGCAAAGTTTAAAGTTATAAAAACATTTAGCAGAAATAGCAATAGAAGCTCCCTAAGATTATATATTGTGCAGACATAGAAGACAAAAGTTTTAAACTTAACTTATTTATTAACAATATATATAAAAATAAAAATAAATAAATAAATTTAATCAACACCAGAGTGTAACATTATCAAAAATTACATTTAGTTTACTATTCATTAACCCCAAGGGTTTATCCTTTAAAGAATATTACACTATTAATGATACAGCAATACATTACCTGATCTTTGAATACTGGCATTCCAATATGCAAAAAACATATCACAGAACAAAAACTACGCAGTTAATATGAATTTCACTTCACTATAAATAGGTCCATGCTTTTTGGCCAAGAAGGCACCTGAAAAATTAAACAAAACCTTGAGTGCACTTGAACTGGCAAAAGCTGTTCACTGTAGTTACACACGAGAGATCACAGCTTGGAATTTATTGCCGCGAAAACATAGAACAGATTGCCACTCATGGCAGTTGCTCACCGGAAATCTTAGCTTGAAATTTGACGTCCCTTGACTTTGGAAACAGAATGCCGCTCACGGCAGTTGACCACCAGGAACCACAACTTGAGATCCTGAACCATAGAAACTGGATG